AGATGCAGATGCAGATGCAGATGCAGATACAGATACAGATACAGATACAGATACATTCGGTAGCTGTATATACATATGTATATATGCCTGTATATCTATATATAGTCGGTGGTCATACTTCAGTGAGTTATGGCGAATAGTTTTCGGTTTCGATGGTGCCGGCCTAATACACCCCAAATAATCTAAGGAGCATAAATATTTCATGCACTGTCAAGATAGCCGATAGCCAAAGTGTTATATCGCCAGAAGTAGCTAAATATGTGCTTGACCCGCTGCGGCTGTTGTTGCTGTTGCTGTTGTTGTTGCTGTCGCTGCCTGTTGTTGGCCACATTATTAAGCCAATTCAGCGGCAGCAGATAAATAAATAAAATTTGAAACATCGCCGCAACAATAAAAGGCGACAGTACACGATTTATTAAACGTTGAGCCAGCTCATGTTGTTGTTGCTGCTGCTGCTGCTGCTGGTGCTGGTGCTGCGGACCAAATGAAGAGACAGACATAACAAGCAACAGCAACAGCAACAGCAGCAGCAGCTGCTGCTGCCACCGTTGTTGCTCACATTACTCTTTTTGGCGTGGCAACGACAACAACAACAACAGCAGAAACAGCAACAGAGTCAGAGTCAGATGTATTGCTATATAGAAAACATACAATACTTTAGGTTGAGGCCAAAATGACTAATGACCAGCGATTATCAAGCGATAAAAGGCAAGGGAACAACAACAACAGTCAGCAGCAGCAGCAGCAGCAGCAGCCACGGCAGCAACAACAATGATAATTTATTATTGTTTTAAACATTTGTGTTTTGCGCTCAAACGAGATACATTTGTCTCATCTAGAAGCCGTCGCCTTTGTTCATTAAGACAATAAAGAAAAGGGTCCCCGAAAAACAAAACATTTACATACATTTAAACGAGGGAAGGTATTCCATATCCATAGACCAATATATGTAAATACAAATACATATCTCTCTCTCTCTCTCTCTCTCTCTCTCTCTCTCTCTATGTCTCTCTCTTTCATATACATATTAAAATTTTAGCTTTTAGCATATGAGATCTGGCGGCCGCAACTTGTAATTAGTTGCCTTTTATAACCCGCTTATTTACTACTGTCTGGGTGTTAAATTTGTTGCTACCAGAAGCAACAGCAGCAACAGCAACAGCAGCAGCAGCAACAACAAAACAGACAACAATAATAAACTTGAAGATTCATGAAAGCGGCAAAGAAAAATAAACAGCCAAAAAGACGTAAATCTTGGTCTTTCAGTATTTCATTTCTTTTGTAGCCCCAACGCAAACTATCTCAAGCCAAGAAATAGAGGCTTCACTGTACAACTACGAAGCCCGATTACTCTTGCTCTTACTAGAAGATTTGTAAGCTTAAGCTATTTTTGTTATTTTCTGCAATAATTTAAAAAAGGGTCGAATTTTTCTTAGAAAGTGGCATAACACCATATAACTTAAGTTATCTAAGCATATTTATTTCTTTTAAGGTGCATATATACATTTATTTAAATATTTGCAAAAAATAAAAAACAAAATTGTTCATTTTGTCGAAATATGTATGTCATAAAAATTAATTTATGATGACAATAAAGTCTGAGCTCTGAAATTGAGTAAAATATTTGGGCACTTAAAAAAAATATAATGTAATTTAATGTGAAAAAAAATAAAAAGTTGTGTACTAATGAACAAATAAAAAGGCTAATGAACTGAACTCTAAGTCGTTAATTGATACTTAACAATAATGCTGATAAATAAAAAAAGTATTATTATAAAAGTAGGGATACTATTAAGAACAATATTATGAATAATAATAGTTACAATAATAATGAGATACTACACAAAAATAATAATTCGAATATTAGCAATATTGCTGATAATGACCAGTGAGTCTACAATTGAATAATTTTCAGTACTTATTGTAATTATAATACATAATGTGAATAATATTAATATTAATTATAATAATGATCTTGATGCATTATAATAATAATGATAATTAGAAGCCATTATCAACCGAAATATTATTATTATTATTTATCATTTAAATGACTATCACCATAATAATATCCACAATAATAATTATAATATGTTAATTTTAGCTAATCACGGGTCGCTTCACCTCTGTCAATGGTTGTGCGTATAATGAAAAATTCATTCTGTTTATCTAGTTCCAGATCAATCCACCTGATTGGGGCTTCAACCTCCGTTATAGGGTATTCAAATGTGGGGCTTGGCGAGGCTGAGCGATGTTGTTTGCGCTGCGCGTTGTAAATGTGAATTGGGCGAAATTAAAAATAAATTTATGACTTAAGTGGCTATAAATTATATTTCTTGTTAAAATTCTATTGTTTCTGTGTTGGATTTTCTTTTTTTCTGTTTTTGTTTTTAATTTTTGTTTTGTATCTTTTGTGCTCGACTTTCTTTCCATATATTTATTCTTTTTTTTTCAAAATTTTGTAAATTATTCAGCATGCATAGTTAGCCCGCCACATAAATTTCAGGCCTTGCGCTTTCTGACATTATTTACGATCTGCTAATGAAGTTGAGTAGTTTCCCAAATGATTTGCACAAAGATATTTCATTAATTATGAACATGAATAAACCAACGTCTAGCACTAATCGACACATACTGACTGATTGTGTGTCCATGTGTGTGTGTGTGTACTTGAGGAACGCCTGTTCACAATTGCTCGCAATTAATTGTAAATCTGTACTGGAATACCCACTGATAAGACGTCCGTCCCACTTGAAAACAGATCAAGTCACATAAATTTCAAGCGCTGGCCGCGGCCTGTTTTTTGTTTATTACTGAATACTCGAGTCCTCTCCGAGTTGTTGTTGTTTGTTGTTGTTGTAGTCTGTCGCTGAGGTCTTTTGGGTGATTTGTTATTTATTAAACACTTCGACACGATTTTGTTATGCTCTGTCTCAAGATCTGTGATACTCTGTGTGCTTTGTGTGGTATTATGGGATTTTCTATTCAATTTGACAGCTTGATGAGACAACAGAAACTTGATAAGTAATTCTATTTGGTTAAGACTTGGTGGGTTTTCAGTTGGTTTATGGGATTTAAAATATGCTAAATGAAGTAAACGACTTTAATCTGGGCATTCTGATTCTGATATCAGCCTCGAAGCATTCTGTGTAAAGAAAGTGCATTGCATATTCGTTAATAAGTTCTGGCAGAGCCCCCCCCTCTCTTCTTTGCTTGCGTTGACACTTTGTCATGCCACCGGCTCGAGGGCAGTAATGGAACTGTTTTTGGTGCCATTCGGGAATAGATTCTAATGGCAAAGGTTTCAATAGAGAGGCGTCCATTCGATAGTATCTCTCCCTATCTTCCCCTCTTTTTCTCTATCTCTCTCTCACACACTCCCTCTAATCTAAATACGATGGCAATTAAAATTGAAATTTATGACGCTAATGTGCCACATACTCGGAGGGCTTAAGATCGCGCCTGTCGTCCGCCAGCTATGGCATTATATTTTATAGAATTTTACGATGCCATTTTCGGGTGTAAGACCCCAGCGATAATTTGTGTGGGCAATTAAAAATTTGTTTGACTGCCGATTCGAGAGCTCAACTAATAAGCTGTCCTCGTCAACAGAATGTGTAATACTCATCGCTAAGTAAAGAGCTATATCATTTAAAAATAGACCCCGTCCGTAGCATTTGAGGCATTTTCAAGATAAACAGACAACGGCAACGCATTGCAAAAGCCCCCTGACAAGTGTCCCATCAGTCTCGGCGTGTGTTTTCTTTTGAAACATTTGAAAACAAGCGACAAGCGCTATAGTAAATTTAAGTAATACCATATACTATCAACTTAGTGTAGAGGCAAAGATAATAAACAGCTTTGCATCTGCATGGATTTGTGGAGGAAAACATTGCCGTAACGCGCGAGTTCCGATGCTCCCACTCCCTCTCTCACTCCGCCTTCCGTGTCCCGAGACTCTTTTCATCTCGAGTCTCGTGAACGTGCTGCCCTGACAGCGGGCTGGCTGGCTGGTTGTCTAATTTTAGAGCAGCTCATACAGACATTTGGTTAGTTTGCTTTGGGCTCCGTTGGGCTGCCATTTAGATAACCCAGTCGGTTGATTCTGATCTTGAGATTTGCAAGATCTGTTTGTTGACGTTGACGTTGATTGCCGCCTGGCACACGATTATCACTGCAGCATTCTATTCAAGCTGCCTGATTGTTGTTTGCAGATCTCAGCGATTTATCATAGAGTTTATGACACACACACTCACGCACACTCACACACACATCCCCTACTAAACCTATGAATTTATGGCATGGGCCGGCTCTAGCAGCTTAACATCGTCTTCTTACATATATTGGGCGCATCTCTGGGGAAAACTTATACCAGGAGCATGTCAAAGCAGGGATCAGCATTGATCCAACAAATTGCTTATTCAAATGGAGCAGCACTCTGGGCTTTCATAGCTCGTCGAGATAAATCTTTATTGATAATTTGCATTTATATCGTTTCGTGATAATTCTTTGTGAATTATGTATATATTAGCTCTGTTGTTATTAATTATTTAATGCAAAGTAAATATTATTATATACGTATATATTTTATTATTCATTGGCCGTTTGCATATTTTAGTCCCATAAACACACAGGTGCTAAAAGCTGCTAATCAAGCGGTGTAAATTGTTAAAGTCTATAATCGTATATTCATTTAAGGCCTCTTGGTAGGACTTGCTTATGAGCAAAGCAAATTCGAATAATATAATGCAATTAGGAACAGTAAACACCTCGAAGTTAAGCAATCTAACATCTTTCCTAGAAATATGTATGTATGTATTTTGTAAGTATCTCGTTTCTGCTATGAAGTATTGGCTGTCTAAGTGCTAACAGCTCCATAACCCATAAGGTGAAGTCGTTGTTGATCAGATCAGAGAATACACCTTTAACTTTTGTATTTATTTTTTAGATTTTGGTATTTACCTTGTTCGCTTACGTAAATAGCATCTATATAAATATTGCATAAAATATTAACAACTTATTCTAAAGTTCTGGAATCTTTCGATTAACGACCTCGAGGCTCTCTAGAATATTCTGATTGAGAATTTTTTATTCTGACACAATTTAATTTTTTTATTATCAATATTAATTATAGCATGTCAAGATACGTTGTATTATAAAATTGTTTCTCCAATCGATATTGAGAAATTAAATATATATGGATGTATACTATATGCCATGTCAAAGAACTCTATAATAAAATACAATTGTTAAAGTCTAAAGGTATAGATACTATAATATATTATGTATGAAATAATTATAAAGAGAATACTAGAAGAAAAAAGTTAATATAATATATAAAAATAAAATAGCAACGAATGCTGGCAATTGGTAAACAAACCATTTAATTCTTTATGAATCTTTATAATTCAATTTTTTTGTTTTTGTTTTAATTTTTTTAGCACTAATTTGATTGACGTGTCTTCATAGCGGCTTATTGATTGTATCGTTAGCGTGCGGAAACTTTTGCTGCTATCAATATGGCTGCGATGTCTGTCTCTGTGTGTAGGCTCAACAAGCTCCCCGGCGTCTGTCTGTCAACGTGGCCAGAGAGAGATAGATAGAGGAGGAGAGAGCGGATGAGAGAGAGAGTGGCTGGCAAGAGGCCCTCAGCTCTCGGCTCCTGGCTCTTGGCTCTTGGCTCTTGGCTGTCGGTTGACGGCGACGTAGTCGGAGCTGGCATCAAGCTGTCAAACATTTAAGCCGCCCACCATCGGCCATCTGTCTGACAGTGGCACTCTTCTGGTCATTTAATCACAGTATTAACTCTTTCGCTGAGCCGCTGTCAGTCTTGTCTCATTTTTGTTTTATTTGCCGAGCTGGCGGGGCTCCCAGGGGGCGGGCCGGCACGGCGGACG